AACACGTTGTACAGCCATCTCCATTTCAATTTTAAAGTCCTCCTTTTGCTTTGCCAAAGCTTCTTGAAGAAGTTGAGCCATCTGTTCAGTGGTGATCATAAATGACTCTCGAGACTGTCCTGTACTGGATACAGTAGCATCTGAAGCAATCGCTGAGTTAGCATCCGACGCTTCTTCGTCTGAGGACTGTCTTCTCTGGATTCTGTTGTAATTGTAATCCTTAGGCCTTATAGCCCCGGTTTGCAGCCGAGTCAACCGTTTGGACATTTGTGAAAAAGGCTCAGGGTTGTAGCGTCGCGTGGACTTTCCTTTTTCTGCCATATTAATCGTGAATTCCGAGAGTTCACGTTCCCGAACGGGTGGCTTTCTTTTACGGAAATGTCTTGATTTGTTTCTCTCCGTTTCTGTAGAAAGTCTTTCAAACACTGAAATCCTTTGCGAGGCAGTCTTGGAACAGTTACATTCTGCTAACACTGCCTTGATGAGTTTAGTACAAGGATAACGAGAATCCCTTTCTCGGGAGTTTCTCTTCCGAGATTTACTCATACCCTCAGTCTGATAGTACAGCTCATCGATATTATTATCGGAGCCACCTATCTTGTGTTGGCATAACCCTCTTATTCTAACATCGTCTTCTTCTGACGAATAAAACTCTCTTTGAGGATATATCGCTCCGTCATTATTTTCAAGAGTCGCTCGTTTGAAAACTCGCCTCCGCGCGCGTGAGGGTTCAACAGAATCTCGAACTTCTACCCGTAGCCCAAGGCGAGCGGTTACTGGTACTTTCTCTGTATGAGGGATTTTTGAGTTACTGGAGACTCGCTCCCGACCCCCATTCTGACAAATCATGCGGGGTTTATTTTTATGCAAAGGGCCGAGACGATCCATTATGCTCATTTTAACTCTGGATAAGTCCACGTTACCGTGGGGTTTTACAGGAGGTGAGGAAGTTATCGGAACAAAAGCAGGAGCTGTCGGAGACTTGAAGCTGGTCGCAGGAGGCGAAATTTCTGCAGACAGAGATGAACCAGCTCGCGGGTCAGCAATTGGTGACTCGGCCTTGGCCGAGCCAGCGTTTGGTGACTCGGCCTTGGCCGAGCCAGCAGCCTGTGCCTCGGTTTTTTCGGGCTTTGTTCTGGATTTTGGCCTCCAGATTTGACGTGGTTTCGTCAGTTTAAAGTCTGCAGTACTTGTTTGTAGTTTCTTGGCCTCTTGTACCAGGATTCTTGCGTGCGCAAGTAAAGCGTGGCGCTTCTCGGTTCGTTCTTTAAGAGTGGAACGTGTCCTCTTAACGGGGACCCATTCATTTGTCGTTGGTTTGGACCAATCGCTAAGTCGCTGCTGTGCCTGTTGGCGTCCTCTAGACTTCAGATCCGCTTCGTAGCGGATTCCATCCACCGGCTCTGAGGCCTTGGCCAATTGGCGTGCTAGGCGTTGACGCCGTCTTTGACGCGCCCTCTTGGATAAAGTTGGTTCGGCCTTGGTAGCTTCAGCTTCACAAGGAGTCTTTTGAACCGCTGCGGGATGAGGTTCTTGATTTTGAACCTTCAAATCCAAATGTCCTCGACCTTTCCTTGTGGAGTTTCTCCTATTCCTACGAGGGGAGGATGATCGGGAAGAGGAGGATAAGTACTCTTCATATTTTGCTTGGTCGAACTCGTACTCGACCTCCTCGTTGATCGGTATGACGATCTTTGGTTGCGACACTACAGCTTTTGCAGAAAAGCTGTCGGCTCCCACTGTGGTCGCCAGTTTGTTTGTGTCAAAAGTTGTCTTTTCCATTGTTTTCAAACCTGTTACACCGTTTATCGATTACAAGTTCAAACTGAAAAGAGAGTTGATCTTTTTATAAGATCTTCTTACAACGAAAAATAAAGATTACAACTTTATCAAACAAAACGCAGCAGTAGTTTATCTCCCGCTGCTTTGCGTGGGATCTTTGCCTGTGCCGGGGACGCGTTAGTCCGTGGACCACCGCAGACCAAAGCCGATCGACAATATAATTACGCTCTTGTTTCACGAGGGAAACAATTACGGAAGCGACAATCACGACCAAGCGAGATTGTGGCTCTTCTCGAGATTAAAACCAAGTTTAATCCGGAGGAAAGAAGGGAAAAGAATCACAAACCTTTCGAAGGGGCTTTCTTTATGAAAGTGTTCGCCAAGCTCTGATGATTCTCCTCTGAAATTCGTGGTTGACTGGTCAATTTGACAGCACCTCGCCTTCTTAATCTCAGATCTCTGATCCCCTTGAAAGAAGACCTTAGGCTTCAAGAATCCTTAAAAATCATCGAAATCCGTGTTTGGGGAGGTTTTGTATCCAACAAGAGTCCTGGTGACTCGGAAATGTGCGAGTCAGCTTCTGGTGACTCGGAACTGTGCGAGTCAGCTTCTGGTGACTCGGAACTATGCGAGTCAGCTTCTGGTGACTCGGAACTGTGCGAGTCAGCTTCTGGTGACTCGGAACTGTGCGAGTCAGCATTTGGTGACTCGGAACTGTGCGAGTCAGCTTCTGGTGACTCGGAACTGCGTGAGTCAGCTCTTGGTGACTCGGAACTGTGCGAGTCAGCTCTTGGTAACTTGGAACTGTGCGAGTCACCATTTGGTGACTCGGCACTGTTCAAGCTTCGTTATTCTTCCAGCTTCCTTGTTTTGCGTACGCTTCGTCGCCTTGCTGATTTTGGATGAATTCCTTTGACTTGGATAATAACGTTTATCGCCTTTTCCTTGTCTTGCACTGTGTTTGAGGACCTATGGGTAATTTTTAACGCCTACACGAAGCACATCGATGTCAGAGTTTACTTTATTCGTGACGTTTTGGATAATGAAGACGTCATATTGGAGAAGGTCCACACGAAGGACAACCCTGCAGATATGTTGACCAAAGTTATTTCAGGTGTGAAGTTTGGTCATTGTTTGGAGCTTTTGAACATTCTTCGGTGTTGAGGCCTTTGGAGGCCATTTGGTGAACTACGTGAATGCTTGATTCCTTAGGTAAGAGGATACGTAGGCAGTCATTTATGATGCAACCGATTTGATGAGTTGATACCGATATTTGGAGAGTGTTCGCATTCTCATTTGGGTTCTCGACCTGTTGTGAATTGAGTCCGTTGTCGTGTATTATTTCACTTCGTATTGGACGCAACAAGTGAGACATTTGGTTTGGTTGGTGCTGGCATAGTTTTGGGAAAACTTCATCGAGGTGGAGAATTATGAATGTGGGGGCCCACGAACCACGTGAATGGCTAAGGAGCTGGCAAATTGCACGCGAGTGGGGGCCATACCTCACTCACGAGACGCGTTTACGCGTTTTCAATTGGGAACAAGGCATGGGGACCGGGCCTATTATCAACGAACGCGTTTATCACGATCGTGTTTATCAACCTATAAATATAAACATGGTATGTTCCTAGGGTTTGGTGCAAAAGAGATTTTTCGGTGGCTATGCAGAAAAAGGAGTGCATGCAGAGGACAAAAAAAGGAGAAGCAGCGGCTGTTTTTTGTGTGCAAGCAGGGGTTTAGGCGGCGTCAGAATCTGTGCAGGAGCAGAAGAAAAAAAAAGGGTGCGGAGACCTGTGTTCTCTTTTGGCAGCGTGAGAGCAGAGGGAGAAAAAGAAGATTGCTTTTTTCGGCTATTTTGAAGAGGGTTTTGTGCATCCTTTTTGAGAGAGGGATTGTGAGGGATTTGAGAGATTGTTTGAGGGTTTAGATTGAGAGATTGTAAACCCTAATTGTATTCTCTCCCTCTAATTGTAGATCTCCCCCCTCCTTGCCCCGTGGACGTAGGCAACTTGCCGAACCACGTAAAATAGTTTGTTTTGCTGTGATTTGTAATAGCTTATAGGTTCTCTCGACAAGTCAGTTCTAGAACTGATGAGAGGAAGAGCTGATATCTCACTTTGTTGAGATATTTTGCTTTTGGTTCTTGTTTCCTTTGTGAAACGAGAATTTCGTTGTGATTTAATATCTTGTTGTGAACTTTGCGCACCGGAGGTGATGCCTAAATTTTCGCTGCGCACATCTGCAACACTCTCCTTTCAAAAAAAACTTAATCCAATAGCATTATTCTCAATATGGAGAAGCTCCCTAACAAAATTGCATAACATCATATTTTTACACGTGCATTGCACGTGCCAATGTGCTATAGAGACTTAAATAAAGAGTCTAATTCTTCAATCAAACCTTTAGTGCTTGATGATGAATGGCTGCAATTGTTTATTCTTTTTTTTTAATTTTCCTGGGAAAAGTATTGATTCCATGAAAGTTTTCTTTTCATTGTCAAACAAGAAGCAGAGAGGATTAATGTTTTTTATATGAACTGATTTGATGCAGAGATGACCAATCGTTCTCTCTTTATCTGATTAGTTTTTCTATCTGATGAATTACCTTGCAGCTGGAAACATCAATTAATTGTGACAATAAAGTGTTGCTTTAACCTCACTTACCTAACTAATTACTATTTTTGCTACATAAAGTATGATGATTTTTATATTTAAAGTGCAACAATTTCTTTGCTTCTCTTTCCGAGGACATTGACCGCATTTAGTGCGCGATATGTCCGCGTTAGACATAATTTAACCTTTAACTAGCAACTTCCTCAGTTATAACCCTTTATCATTTAATACATGTTCGTGAACAGTATGATGTTTGTAAATTATACTAAACACTCAATAACTTTCTTAGAAAAGCCCCAATACATTTCAAAACGCCTTTTTATGTTGTTTTTTCTCTAATTTATTGCTTTTTTCTGCAAAATGTGGAAAATTATTGGAGCTTTTCTGCAATTCCAAAAGGTTATTGGGGGTTTAGTATGATTTTGAGGGTTACAGGGGATTTCCTGCAAAACGCTAATAGTTCTTGGGGTTTAGTGTAATTTACCCCAGAAATAAATCATAACTTTCCATATATTATTGGTCGAGGTGAGAGTCACGACTTATGAGAATCCAAAGAGAGGAGAGATGTGAAACCATATAAGAGAGTTAATTTAATCTTAAGATTAACCAACCATAATACATTGATTAAGTAGTTCCATATACATATATTACGAGCGAGTGACAAGAGAAAGAAATAGAAGGAAAAGCTAAGGCCTCATTTGAAAGCGCTACTAATTATATGCATCTTCTTCATAAGCTACCATCCTTTTATTGTCTTCTGCTTGATTATATCCTTAGATACCTCAACCTGGTAGTTAAAAAGAAAAGAAAATGCAATACGTCAAAATCTAGAAGATCATGATATACAGTATAAAACGGAGCATGTGAAAAAGTGGAGAAAATAAACGCTAATAGTTCTTGGGGTTTAGTGTAATTCACCCCAGAAAGTGGAGAAAATAAAAGGCTACGTTCGAAAGTATATGAGTTCAGTTATGTGACAAGCAAAGGAAATAATACATGGTCTTAGCTCAAACACACGCACATATGGTAGTTAGAAATAGGATTAATTGCGGATAGACCCCCTATACTATCGTCCAATTGCAGATAGACCCATGAAGTTCTTGTGGAGGTGATTAATATGTGAGTATAGTCCCACATCGGATAAGATAAGAAAGAGTGATGAGTTTAAATAAGAGTTTGAGTCAATATCTGATAGCTATAGTTTTTTGGTTAAAATCGATTCCTAACTTCTGTTTAAGACCCATCGACTCTAGATTGGGCCTGATTTCTCCCCCAACAATGTTATCATAGCTAAGGTCATGGTCCAAGTAATTAACAAAAGCAGATGATCTTCGATGTGAAGCCCAAAGGTGTCAGGAGAATCCACGGACTTTCGTAGGAGTGATATAGTCTGGTTTGTCACCATGAGTGAAGTGGTGAAAGTTCCTACGGATGTTTGATAGCTATGTGCTGAATGCATGGTAGTTTAAATAGGAGTTTGAGTCAATACCTGATAGCTATAGCTTTTGGGTTAAAATTGATTCTGAACTTCTGTTTAAGGCTCATCGACTCTAGATTGGGCCCGATTTCTCCCCCAACCGTTCTAGCATTGCAGACAGAACCCCTCTCACGATGTCTATCTATAGGAGTACAATTTCTCTCTCTCAGAGGGTGAGAGAGTCAAAAAACTTTTTTTGCAATAAAGTAAGAGTGCATATACCTAGTTATCAATATCTAATGATCATATATGATATAAGTTACTGAAGAGGAAGAAAAAGGCTGTGCAAGTTGTTTGGTGATTATGTTGTACCTCTGCTCCTCATCTCGTGCACGTGCACATGCACCAAAGGAAGGGAAGTTGGCAGACTCAATATACTTGATGTCCTCCTGAAGGAGTCTATACTGTCTCTTGACATCCTCAACCGATTTTCCAATTTCACGGGCAACATTCTGCCATCTGTCAGGGGTGTCCTTATCATACACCGCGAGCACTTGCTCGAAGTGCTTGTTCTGCTCTGCGGTCCACGAGTCCATCTCGGAAGAGAGAGTAAGTTGTTGATTGAAGAGAAAGAGATGGGAGGGGTGTGCTGTGAAGAGGGAGATGAGGGGAGGTTGGTATTTATAGTGAGAGATGCAATTTGAAGGAATATTAGTTAAGGGGGAATAAAGGGTGATTAGTATGTTTGAGAGGCACAAGATTGGAAGAGGGTGGGAGGATATGGAACAAACAAGTACAGTGAAATGTCACAGAGAGAATATATGAGCAAAAATGGAGGGAGTGCTTGCTTTCAAATGTTCACAAGGCCCCTCCCATTCCCCCTTCTTT